TCCAATGTGGTGTACATACCAGGCATAAAGAGTAATTTTCTCAGTATAGGGCAGCTTGTCGAAAAGAACTACAAGGTAGTTGTCGAAGACAAGATGATAAGAGTCCTCGACGCAGGTGGTAGACTAATCTTGAAGGCTCCAATGTCTCAGAATAGGACCTTCAAGATTGGACTCAATGTGATGGAGCACAAGTGTTTAGCAACTGCAGCCACTGAAGCCGAAATAGAAGTTCGACAGGAACCAGTTGCAGATGAAGCAGGTTCAAACAAACCTCGGCGAACTAGACACATGCCTGCAAGGTTGCAAGAATGTGTAATCACATCAGATGATGTAGTCGATGAAGAGGGTGAGCTGGTACGTTATGCTTTCTACGCAGATGTCGAACCAGTCAATGCAGCTGAGGCATTGAAAGATTCGAAGTGGGTGAAAGCAATGATTGAAGAGTTAGAGTCCATCAAAGTCAATGATACCTGGTCACTTGTCGAATTGCCGCAAGGCAAGAAGGCAATTGATGTGAGGTGGGTTTACAAGGTGAAGGTAAATCCTAAAGGAGAAGTAACTCGACACAAAGCGAGACTTGTGGCGAAAGGATTTCTTCAGAAGGAAGGAATCGACTTCGATGAAGTATTCGCACTTGTTGCTAGAATCGAAACAATCAGGTTGGTTGTTGGTCTAGCAAATATGAACAACTGGCACACATGTCAGATAGACGTGAAGTGTGCATTCCTTAATGGCCCCTTAGAAGAAGAAGTTTATGTTGCACAACCAGCTGGGTTTGTGAAACAAGGCGAAGAAAGAAAGGTGTACAGGCTTCATAAAGCCCTGTATGGACTTAAGCAAGCTCCAAGAGCTTGGAATAAGAAAATTGACAGCTTCTTAAGGGAGAAGGAATTTGTGAAGTGTACAACTGAGCATGGAGTATATGTAAGAAGAAGCAATGGCGAATTGCTTATACTATGTCTCTATGTTGATGATTTGTTGATAACATGGAGTTCCAAGAAGGAGATCGAAGATTTCAAACATGACCTGAGTAAGGAGTTTGAAATGTCAGACTTGGGAAATCTCTCATATTTCCTTGGCATCGAATTCTACAAGACAAGTAGAGGTTTGATGATGCACCAAAAAAGATATGCAGGCGAGATACTCAAGAGATTTGAGATGCAAGATTGCAACCAAACTTCGACTCCAGCTAAGCCCAGATTGCAACTGTCGAAGGATTCAGATAAAGATGATGTCGACCCAACCCAATACAGAAGACTTATTGGGTCACTTAGATACCTTTGCTACACAAGGCCTGACTTAGCATACAGTGTTTGTATGATAAGTAGATTCATGCAGAAACCAAAGGTATCACACCTAGCAGCGGCGAAGAGGATACTGAGGTATCTGAAAGGAACTCTCGACTATGCCATTTTGTTTCCAACAGCTGATGAAGGAAAAGAATGCAAGTTAGTGGGATACACAGACTCCAGTTGGTGTAGTGATGCTGAGGATCGAAAATCCACAGCTGGATATGTGTTTATGTTAGGTGGTGCACCAGTTGCTTGGAATTCGAGAAAGGAACCAGTGGTGGCATTATCATCATGCGAAGCAGAATATATAGCTGCTTCCCTTTGTGCATGTCAAGCAACTTGGATGGTGAACTTGGTCGAAGAAATCACAGGGAAGAACCATGGAGCAATTACCATGAAGATAGACAGCATGTCAGCTATCAACTTGGCAAAGAATCCAATAGCTCATGGTCGAAGCAAGCACATCGAAATGAGGTTCCATTATCTCCGAGAGCGGGTAGCAGAAGGGAAGATGAAGTTGGAACACTACAGAACTGAGAACCAGATTGCAGATATCATGACGAAGGGAGTACATGTCGAAGCCTTCAGAAGACTAAGGGTCATGATGAATGTAGACAGTTTAGACACAATGAATTAGGTGGTGTGTAAAATATAATTCATTGTGATTTGATATGATTAGATTTGATATCATATGATTAATTTGATATGATTAGATTTGATATCATATGATTAGATTTGATATCATATGATTAGATTTGATTTAGAATATTTTGGGCCTTTTATGTTTTGGGCTAGTGTAAACCTAAAACTATAAATAGGGTGCCTTGCTTTGTATTCTACATCACAACAAAACAGATTTCACAGTTGCAGTTAGCAAGTGAAAGTTCAATAAGAAATCCCACAGTTGTGGGTAACACATTCTCTCCAAATACTTCTTCTCTCATTCGTCTCTTTCTTGTGTGTTCTTTTTTATTTTGTTGTTCTTGATAACTACTTGTTATTACCATTACTATCATATTGTGGGTTTGTTCATCAATCTTGAGATCAAGATTGAAGGGAATTCTTCATAGGGTGTGAGGTGAATTTCTAACATATATATATATATATATATATATATATATATATATATATATATATATATATATATATATATATATATATATATATATATATATATATATATATATATATATATATATATATATATATATATATATATATATATATATATATATATATATATATATATATATATATATATTATACTTGTTTTAAGAATGTTGATTTGTCAAATGAACTTTAAAATTGTAAATAACACCATTGTTCCTTCCTGAAGCTAAAAATGAAATATTTTAATGGAGGTGATGGTGGATCACAACCTCCGATACGATGGAATGAAGATATCTGCAAGTTTAGTACTCCAACATTCAAATTAGTAGAGTTGATAAAACGGGTCGGACCAACCAGGCCAACCCGAAAATCCGCCAAAAAATTCGGGCTTAAACAAAAAAAATAAGGCCCATTTATTATTCGGGCTTTTAAGTCTGAACCGTTAAAGACCCGATATTTAACCGGGTTAGTCCGATCGGGTAGCGGGTAACCCGCTTAGTTTTTTTTATGAATTTTAAACCTTATTGTTAATTTAGTTTGTAAAACTTAATGTTATCATTGAGAATTTTACTTTGTTTTGAATCTTTATTCAAATGAAAAAGACAAAGAATGCACCAAGGGAAATGTTATAAGTTACATTTCGGTGTGTACGACATTATTATCATTTTCTAAGTGAAATGAAATGTCATACTGGTGCATTTTCTATATGAAATGTCATACTGTTATAATTTGACACTATGATAAAATTAGAGTATGGTGTGTACAATATACTAATAGTATTATATTATTTTTTAAATAAAACACTCACTTTTTAATTTTAATAAAACAAAATTATAAATATAAACTGAGCCGGCCCGAAAAATCGTAGCTCGTGAAGGGTCGGATTTGGTCAATCAAATTGTGACCCATTTATAATTCAGGCGTTTTAGCCAGGCCCTCACAAAACCTGAGTCCGTCACGGACCAAATAGCTTATTTTATCGGCTCTAAGTTAGTATATGAAAAATAAGAGTGAATTGAAGTTGTATTTCCAAAATGTTACCTCGATTAGCGCTAAATCTGAACCAACATAATATGAGGCCTAAGACAAATATAAAATTGAAGTCTTTTTGTTCATTAACCTTAATTAAAATATTTGATTTTTAAGGGATGTTTTAAGATAGTTTTAAGATTTGTTATGAAATTAATGATAAAGTTGCATTAAGATATTTACGTTTTTTTTTTTATGATTGAATTATTTCTCAAATGAACAACTTCAGAAATAAAACAAAAAGTTTTCTTTCTCTGGCAATTCACGTTGTAACCTTTCTCGCACTATTTTGATTAAATTAAAATCTTTTTATTTGTCAATTTTTTTAGAAGTCCTTTATATAAAGAAGGATTAATAGGTAATTTGTCTCTTTCCATATGGGCGAGTTTTTTATTAAAAAAAATCTGTAAAAAAAATTTAGAATCCCACCCTAACATTTCAAGATGTTAGGGAAAAACAAAGCATAAAAAAAAAAGAGAAACACAATAATAATACAAGAGATTAACGTGGAAACTTCAAAACCGGAGAAAAAACCACAATCGTTGTCAAATGACAACTAAAGAATAATACTATGTGAAAATTGTTACAACACATAGACTACTCTCAACCATCCTAAGGCTCCAATACACTCACACTCTCAAATGACAACTAAAGAATAACACTATATGAAAATTGTTACAACACATAGACTACTCTCAACCATCCTAAGGCTCCAATACACTCACACTCTGCAAAGCAAATATTTAACCACCCCTCACAACACTCTAAAACCAATAGTATAAGAGAAAATGTAAAAAAAAAGTCAAAGACAAGCTTTAAGTGCTTTTTGACTGGTACACCTTGGAATGAAGAACTTGAATCCTATATATAGGATTAAATTTCCACTTCCTTCATAAAATTAAGTGATGTGAGACTTCAAATAGCTTGTATAATATATATATATATATATAGCCTTGGACTCTCTCTTCATTTACAAAACTAATTGATGTGGGACTTCTTTAACATGTATATTTTCAACCAACCCCAACAATTTCCACCTTGATTGAAAATAATACATAAACTTCCATTGTCTTCACTGACAATCATACTCCACCATAAAAAGTGTAGTCACTTGAAGCTACACCACTCCAAGAATTTCACATTGTCTTCATCGACAATCATAGTTTTTAAAAACTATCATATTTCACCTAAAGAATAATATACTTCACTTGAAGTTAAACCACTTCAACAATTTTCCCATGTCGAAAATCAGATTGAAACTTTATGGTGAACTTCCTTGTTGGCAGAAAGCTCTTCAATCATCGACATAATCTCACAACACACTTTGTATTAATGCCCATGTGTTAATCCGCTAGCAATAACTCGTTCTTTTCCATGACAGTGGAAATGTCATGAGGACACACTTCTCAATTTTCAGAGAAGATCATCCTTTCTCACAGCGAGAGAGACATTGCTAGCATTTGACTCAGAGCCCTTCTCTGACGCATCCCCATCGAGACATTTATACTTTATATGTCCAAGCTTTCCACATTTCCAACATCTCACACATGTTTCATTGTTTATCTTCACCTACGACTTTTCTCTAGCAACCAATACTGAGTTTAATGAAGTATTCTCCTTACCCTTCAATCTTTTTTCTTCAAAAATAATCTTACTACCAACTTTTTCAAAGCTCAAAGTTTCATTCCCATATATTAAAACAGTTTTAATATGCTCATAGGAAGATAAAAGAGACCATATGAGTCTCAAAGCTTTATCTTCATCATCAATCTTGACTCCAATAGTTTCTAATTCATAAACAATACCATTTAGAACACTTAGATAATCAGATACTTTCGTATGTTCATCCATATGCAAGCTATGAAACTGCTCCTTCAACAATAAACGATTTGATATACCTTTTCCTTGATATATCCCTTCAAGATTCTCCCAAAGCTCTTTGGCTGACGACGTACCAAGAACATTCACAAGAATATTCTTAGCCAAAGACATGCGGATTGTACTCGAAGCTCTCAAATTTAATTCCTCCCACTTCTCGATGTCCATGTTGGAAATGTTTCCTTTCAATGCCTTGTGTCTTTGACTTGAATTTTCCACTAGGCAAAATTAATTATTCCATCGAATTTCTCTAAGTCAATCTTCACTGCACTTGAAAAACTTGACATTTCAACCAAAACTACAACCACAGAGCATACTAAAAATTTATACCCCACCAAATCAAGGCTCTAGATATCACTTGTTAGGGAAAAACAAAGCATAGAAAAAAAAGAGGAACACAATGACAACACAAGAGATTAACGTGGAAACTCCAAAACTGGAGAAAAAACCACGACCTTTGTCAAATGACAAACAGAGAATAACACTATGTAAAAATTGTTTAACACATAGACTACCCTCAACCACCCAAGGCCTCAATACACCCACAATCTCCAAAGCAAATATTTAATTACCCCTCATAACACTCTAAAATCAAGAGTATAAGAAAAATATTTAAAAAATAAAGTCAAATACAAGCTTAAAGTGCTTTTTGACTGGTACATCTTGGAATGAATAACTTGAATCATATATATAGTCTTAGACTCTCACTTCCTTCATAAAACTAAGCGATCTGAGACTTCAAATAACTTTTATATATATATATATATATATATATATATATATATATATATATATATATATATATATATATATATATATATATATATATATATATATATATATATATATATATATATATATATATATATATATATATATATATATATATATATATATATATATATATATATATATATATATATATATATATATATATATATATATATATATATATATATATATATATATATATATATATATATATATATATATATATATATATATATATATATATATATATATATATATATATATATATATATAGCCTTGAACTCTCTCTTCATTCACAAAACTAAGCGATGTGAGACTTATTTAACATGTATATTTTCAACCAACCCCAACACAAAATTCCATTGTTTTGATCCCTCTTGAAATCTAATCTACATTTTGCATCAAACAACAACACCTTACCACTAGGCTGCACGTTTTATTTATTTAAGAATTTGCATCAAAATTATATATTGTTAGATAACGTTAATTATAAATAAAACGTTAATGTTATATTATTTGAATAATTAATATAATATAATGTAAATGTTAGTTAACGTTAATTATTAATGTTATATTAATTGAATTATTTTAATTAATTAATATTAATGTTATATATTGTTATTTAACATTATTTATTAATGTTATATTGTTTGAATTATTAATGTTATTTAACGTGATAATTAATGTTATATAATAAAATATATTTATTTAAGAAAAAATGAGAATAGTAAATGTGTTTTAATATTAATATTATTATTTTTTATTGATTAATAGTAAAATATATTAGTATTTAACTATAGTAGAAAAACTTTAAATAAACTATTCAGCATTTAAATATTAATAATAAATTATTTAGTATTTTAATACTAAAATATTTACAATAATAAACTGAAATTAATTATTAATAAATTTTTAAACTGAAATTATTATTAATATAAATTAATAAACTGAAATTATTATTAATAATAAACTGAAATTAATAATTAATAAAATGAAATTTATTAATTAAAAATAAATTAATAATTAAAATTTTATTATAATAATAAAATTTAAATTAATTAATTAATTACAATTATTAGTAAAAAATAGAAATAAAATGAAACTAATTATTAATAATAAAAATGAAATTAATTATTAATAATAAACTGAAATTAATTATTAAAATATTATATATATTTTATTTAATATTTAAACTTTAATAAATTTTCTAATTAAAATATTAAAATATTTTAGTTGATTAAAAATGATTAAGATATATATATATATATATATATATATATATATATATATATATATATATATATATATATATATATATATATATATATATATATATATATATATATATATATATATATATATATATATATATATATATATATATATATATATATATATATATATATATATATATATATATAATAAATATTAACTATATTTTAACATTTATTATTTAAAAAATAATCTAATTTATTAAATATAAATATGATAAATATTAAACTGAAAGTAAATAAAATAATGAATTGAAATTAAATAAAAATAATAAATTAAATGAAATTAAATGATAAAAATGAATATAATTTCAGTTTTATTAAAATTATTTTTTAATTGTATTAACCTCAATAATATATAATATTTGATGCGAACAAGTAAACAAGAAAAACATCCAGCGTAATGGTTGGTGTTGACCAAATTTTTTCATATTTTGTATTCAATACAAGATAAACATTTAAAAAATTCAAAACTAAAAATATATTTAACTATAAATTGAATATTAAGCTGATATTAAGATTAAATATATAACATTTATTTTTTATTTATAAATAACAAAATAACCAAATAATTAAAAAGAAACTATTGACTCTATTAAAGGAGAAAAAAACAGCATTTATCTGCTCACCAACCTACAAGCTAAATATACAACTGATAATTTTACTGTTATATTTAATAAGTACCAATGTTTGTATTTTTTGGAGGCCTAAAATTCTTTAAAAAAAGAGTTTTTTTTTTTTGAGGTCAAAGGCAATGGCCTAGCCCGCTTAATCCTTGAGTCGGCCCTGATAAGCATCAACTCTATATTTATAGAAAGAAAAAAAATAATGAACTAGTAATTTGTGTGACATTCTTCGCGGTTATTGGATGTGCTTTATGATTTATATCTTCTTAGGGCCCTAAGAGTAACTTCTTTCAACGATCGACAAGATTCTTGAAGGTTTGGGATCTCTATTAAACTGCAAGTTACATAATCATGATCAACTTAGATTTTTCTAGGTCCTTCCGTTATTACAAAAAACATTTTTTATCTCGGGCGCGAAATACATAATATCTCGGCTAAAGAAGTGAGGTAACAAAGGACGACATGAAAACTCGCCACTTATCACCTCGGTGGAATTAAAATCGAGAGATAAAGTTATATGTAATTGGATTCGAACCCCAGCAACAACACTTTTACTATTTTCAAAGCTAGTGTATCTTACATCTCGGTTTATTTTAAAAACTGAGAGGTAAAATTATTAATTTATTTTTTTTAAATTGTTACATTGTTTACCAAAAATATTACATTGTTTACGCTGAATACTAAAATAAAAATCAAATTCCCTAGAGATCTGGATAAAAATCAAATTCTTTGATGATTTAGACTTTAGATCTTCGAATTGTTGAATCTTGGGGAAGATTAAATGTTGGGTGCAAAAAATTATTCTCTACGGATCTTGCATGCATTTGTTTCTGATAAAAAAAGGGTAAGATAATTAAAATCAATATTCAAATATATGACTTTCGGCTCAAATAAATATTTAAGAAAACAAACCTTGAACCCATATAATTTTCTGCTCTTACAATCCATCATAAAAAACTTTTCCAAGCATCTTTAGAATTCAAGCGTTTCATGTTTCATTTAGGTTAGAAATGTTAATATTCAACATGCTTTTATAATGAATGTCTTTTAGGTTTCACACGGATCACTAATGGTAAATTTTTGAGCGTTGATAAACACTAAATAGACTACAAATATTTGTTTAAAGGCGTTGAATATAAAAAAAAACTCTTAACTATCCCCTTGGTTACGAGAAAACCGAGGTAAATAAGCAGTTTTTTTAATTACATTGTTTACATAGAATATTAAAAATAGTAGAGATCTGTTTAAATTACATATCCCAATAAAAAATTTTATTTTCCATGTCCATGTCCCATGCAAAATATTAGAGATATGTTTCTCAATGGTAATTTTTATTTTATGCACTTGCAATTCACCCCAAAGATCTGTAGCAGCAACTCATGATCAAATGGAGAATGGTGAATATTTTCTCTATTTGGAGCGGCTACATATAAGTTAGTCTTATGGTAAAATCTATTTAGCGAGCGTTTTTATAGTAAAATATGATTATTAAGCACTTCAGTTTTATAGTTTTTTTATCTTCCCCTTTTAACTATCACCTCGGTGATAGCGAAAATCGAGGTGAATAATTTTTCTTGAAATAATATTGTTTACAGAGAATATTAAAATAAATTGTTTTAAAAAAATCTTTGCTCTTATTCCTGAATATCTTAGCTGATATATAGATTTACTTGCATCCTCTTCTTTGTTCAAATATTAAGCTTCACTCCTTGTAGGTAAAGCTACATTCTTTGTGTAACTTGAAGCAAGAATAATTTTCTGCAATTGCAATATATCAACTGAGTACTCTTTAAAGGTTGAGTTCCCTTCTTTAACTAAGAGTTATTCTAAAAATACAACAACGACAACATCAACACCATTATGTTGGGATAGATAGCAATGGTAGAAAAATATTTTGTTCAAGATAGAAGAATATTGAAGATTTTTTTTTCTTGCAATACATCCTAAAGAATGATGCTTGCGAGTTTATGGTGACTTCATATTAGTAAGGATTATGATAAAATTTATTTAACGAGTGCTTTTATAGTAAAATATTATTATATTATGCCTCGGTTAAATAGAAAATCGAAGGTTTATAACATTTTGTTTACACTTATAAACAAATAAAATTATAAACTACAATAGTTGGGAATCAAAGCTTGTACTGTGTTGTTTTTTTCACCTCGGTGTTATGAAAAACCGAGGAAATTTATGATTTTTATTTTATTTTTTTAAATAATTAAAAATAGCGTATTTAGGTTTCAAGCGCTTCATATTTCATATAGGTTAGAAATGTTAATATTCAACATGCTTTTATAATGGATGTCTCTTAGGTTTCACGTGGATCCCTAATGGCAGATTCTTAAGCATTGATAAACATTAAATAGACGACAATGATTTGTTTAAGGGCGTTGAATATAGAAAAAAACTTAACTATCCCCTCGATCATGAAGAAAATCGATGTGAATAAGCTGTTTTTTTAAATTACATTGTTTAAACAAAATATTACAAATACATTGTT